ACCCACACATTTCCAAATTCAAACAGGGACATTCTCCAATATTGACCTGTCAGTTGGTTCACCTGATTCCCAGTTGAATTTCACTTGGCAGGTCATGGAAGACTTACATGGAAGTGACCACTTTCCAATACACTCCAGCCAATGGAGTGCAGAGATGGCGACTTGAACATGCAGACTGGACTCTTTTTAAATTAACTGCAGTATTGCAAGGATCTGTAAATGATTTCCAGTGTGTTCAAGATGCTGTTAATCACTTCACATCACGGATTCACCTTGCAGCAAAAGCATCAATTCCCAGAAGTAGGGGGCAGTACCGTCGACCTCCGGTACCATGGTGGTCTGATGAATGCCAACAAGCTGACAGAGCAAGAAAAGCTGCATTAAAGCAGTTGAATCGACGCCCCAGCGATATAACCTTGATCCAGTACAAAAAGACCCGAGCCAAGGCCAGGCGAGTGCTAAAGGAGGCTAGACGGACATCGTGGAGGCAGTATGTCTCCTTGATTAACTCTGGGACCCCCTTAGCATGGGTATGGGACAAGGTGCGTAAGATCGCTGGAAAGAGCACATCCATATCACCACCTGCTCTGAAAATAGATGGCATAATTCTCACATACAAAACAGATGTTGCAAATGAGCTGGCGAAATCCATGGTAGAGATCTCCTCTGGAGCATCTTACACTACCCGATTCTCCACTCTTTGGGCTGAACAGGAACGACACCCAGTGTCATTCTTCAGTAGCACTGCAGCAGAACTTTCATACAACTTGCCATTTTTGTGCAAGGAGATGGACTCTGCTTTGCAGCTCTGCCGTAAGACTGCTCCAGGAAGTGACGGTATTCCATACCAAATGATATCTCACTTACCGGAGAGCTCCCAAACGTTCCTGTTGGATCTATTTAATAGGATCTACAGGGAGGGAACAGTGCCATCCACATGGAAAGAAGCTATAATCATTCCTGTCCCAAAACCAGGCAAGGATGCTTCCATACCAGGGAATTATAGACTAATTTCTCTCACCAGCTGTATCTGCAAGTTGATGGAGAAAATGGTAAACTTCAGGTTGACATGGCTGCTAGAAAAAGAAAACGTGCTGACCCCATATCAATATGGGTTAAGAAAACTGAGATCTACCACAGATACACTTGTGAGGATGGAAACTGCTATACAGAATTCCTTCACACAGCGACGCCTTGAAAAGGCTTATGATACGACTTGGAAGCAGGGCATACTCATGAAGCTGTATGACATTGGTTTAAGAGGAGCATTGCCAACCATCATACAAAGCTTCCTTGCTAACAGGAAGTTTAAATTGAGGGTGGGAAATAGCTTCTCTAACCTGGAAGATCAGCTGGAAGGAGTCCCACAAGGGAGCGTCTTAAGTGTGACCCTGTTTGCCATTGCTATAAATGTCATCATAAAGGTCGTTCCAAGTGCTGTCTCATGTAGTCTGTATGTGGATGACTTTACACTGTATTGCTCTGATGGAAGCTTACAGGATGTGCAAGGACACATGCAGACTGCAATAAATCAGGTTGTGCAATGGGCAACATACCATGGTTTTACCCTTCCCTCTATATAGGAGCAAACCCACTGCATTTTGTCCAAGAGGTGAAGTACTTGTGTCTAATTTTTTACTCAAGGCTTACATGGGTGCCTCACATTAAACAGCTAAAGGTGAAAGCTACAAAAGTGCTTAGTATTTTGCGGGTTCTTTCCCACCTATCTTGGGGTGCAGACTGCACAACGCTTCTGCGACTTTACCGAGCACTTATTCGTAGTAAACTTGACTATGGATGTGAGGATTATTCATCTGCAACTCCCACTGTCCTCCGGAAGTTGGACTTGGTTCATAACGAAGTTCTGAGAATTTGTGTAAGGGCTTTCAGGTCTTCACCTGTGGAGTCCCTGTATGCTGAGAGTGGAGAACCACCTCTTTCATTACACCGGGACTACATGAACCTGATTTACTACACGAGACTACAAAGGATTCCGGGATCTCCTACATCTAGATTGGTTTTCAACCCCCTTGAGGATAGCCGATCCTATGGTAGGAGAATGAGGAATCTTGTGGAAGATCTTAATTTAAATCTCACAAAAGTTCTGGCTGTTGGAACTTCCCAAGTCCCCCCTTGGACTAATCAAGTCGAGCTAGATTTGGTCGGAATTGGGAAAGGGGAGAGATCCGAAGCAGAAGTCAGAGAGATATTTCTTAAACACAATTCTAAGTACCAGGGATCAAATGCAATATACACAGATGGTTCGAAATCTGGAAATGGTGTGGGCTTTGCAGCAGTGAGCAGAAGGAAGACATCTGGCAGTCTTTCTCGATCAGCCTCGATTTTCACTGCAGAGTTAGATGCCATCTTTGCAGTAGTCAAGATGACTAAAGATCTTACGAACAATTCTATTACAATATATTGTGACTCTCGTAGTGCCTTGCAAGCAATCAAGAGCTTAAACTCATCACATCCAGTGGTGAGGGAGGTTCAAGATTGGCTTGCATTGATGTTAGCACGTAGGAAGATAACTCTGTGTTGGGTGCCAGCACATGTTGGTATCAGTGGGAATGAGCGGGCTGATCAGAAGGCCAAGGCAGCTGCCGCTCAGCCTTGTGATGCTCGTTTTCCTCTCCCACACACTGATTTGAAACCCAGCATTAGAAGTTGTCTTCGTGATAAATGGAGGGAACAATGGAGGCATACCGCTAGAAATAAACTACGAGAGATTAGAGATGACCTTGGCAGTTGGGAGACCAGCATCCATCGCAACCGACAAGTGGAAGTTGTATTAGCAAGGCTGAGAATTGGGCACACAAGAATGACTCATGGGCCGATGATGGCTAAAAGTGAAGCACGCTGTGAGGAATGCCAAGAGCCATTAACGGTCGCTCATATAGTGGAAAGATGTGCAACTTTCTCAGACCAAAGACGAAGGTACTTGTCTCCCCCCATATACACTGAAAAATGTATTGGGGGAGGATTGTGATATGGAAGGTCTTGTTAGTTTCCTCAGCGAAACTAATATTTTCAATAAAATTTAATTATGCATAATATTTATGCAGTAGTTTTTAGACATTTAGAGCATAATGTTTATGCTTCGATTTTTTTATATAATATTTATTGTTATTTATAACATATATTGATAGATTTTTAACGTTTTGAATATTTTAATATTTCAGTCTAACAAGGTGATCGCCGCTAATGACCTTAGCTGTTGACGCGGCAGATAATTTTAAATAATCAATCAATCAATTTACCTTGGATTTACTAAAAGAAAAGAGCTTTCACATAATTATTTCAACTTAAAAGATATCTGCTGATAGCACATAATATATATATATATATATATATATATATATATATATATATATATAATGATGTATTTATTTTGTAGGGGCAAAGATAAAGCAGAACATAAAACGACACACGAGCACAATAGAGCACAAGACAAAAACATAAACCAACATAAAACACAATGAAGACACACTTATCTCTCCACTGCCAAGCCGCCTCCCTCCTGCGCGCCACAACCACGCTTCCTGGAACAAGCTTAAAGGGCCGACGACTTTTTGTTGTCACCTCGAAACGGTTTTGGTTCTCATTGCGTTTTGTAATGTTTGAAAAAAGTCATTAAAAGTATTCTGAAAGTTCTGTACTTAAATGAAGAAAAGCTCTGTGCAATAAATATTAAATAAATTTCGTGTGCAAGTGTATATCGTAAAACAAAAGTTCATGAAATCATTGTAAAAAATGCAAAGCGTGCAATAACCATGAAGTTCAAATAATAAAAAAATAAATAAATAAATCCTTCATCTCGTAAGGGGGAGAACGAAAGGCATAGGTAGGGGACCGTGGGGGACATAGACAAGCGGTCCACAAATTAACGTATGGTACAGAACAAAAAGGCGGGAAACGAGCTTCCCTTATCATTACAGATACGGGGTTATCTTCAGCAAATTTAAAAGTCTCAGAGAGTCATTTTACAGTCCTTATAAGCGTGGACCTCCAAAACTGTCTTGAGCTTCGACCGAGGCCTAGACAAAAATCGACATTTTCGCGGGGACACAGACAAGACTACGGAATCAAATCAAGGAGCGTCCGACCTAACGTGAAAACCGTCCGTGAACATCGCGTAAGAGCGGAGGAGCTGGGGAGGAAAGCACGCAAGAGCGGAGGAGCTGGGGGCAAGAACATCACTAAGGCCACTTCAAGGCTTTCCAAGAGAAACCTTTTGCGCTTTCCGATGCGTATTATCCGCGTACTTTCCTTTGAGGCGTCCCCGGCGAAGGCAAAGGACCTCTGCATCTTCCATTCGCTCGTGCAGTGTCTCCTTCTGCAGGAGTGATTGCTCGCGGGTCGGGAGTTCCGTGGGATAAGGCTGAGGGGGCTGCAGACGTGAGTGTGTGTGTGTGGAATATACATATAAGTATATTAAATACTATATACAACTCCTAGCAAATCTAAAACAGAATATGTGAGCGAGTGTGACCATTATACAGTCTTATCAGGCGAAACCGGTGCAGGGACGGAAGCGCCGCGAGATATCAACTGACGTTTGCTATTATCTCTTAATTTAATTATCTTCTCTCTTGTTATAATCACTATTCCATCATTACTACTATTCGTTTGTTCATTAACTTATCATTTCTGTTGGTCATTATCCTCATCTTTATCACCGTTATTGTTATCATCACTGTGTTTTTACTTATTGTGAAATAATATACAATCTATGAAGTAATATATATTTATAGATAAATAGAGAGAGAAATATATATATATATATAAATAGATAGATTGATAGATAGATAGATAAATTGAGAGAGAGATGGAGAGAGAATGCTGAGCAGATAGCAGGACGGGATAGCAGCTGCATGCTCTAGTGTTCACAATTCTCCTTTTGAGACAGATTTAGTTCCAGCCTGATTTGCACACTTCGTCATTCTGATTTTCTTTTTTTTTATAATATAAAGAAAAAGAAAACATAGGCCAGTAATTAA